CCCTCCCACAAGGCTGACCCGCCGTGGCCGCCATCTTGGGCTCGGGACGAGGCGCCTGCCCGGGGCCGCGAGCTGCTGTGGGGAAAGAGGGAGCAAAAGCTCAAAACAGGCCTGGTGCCTCTCAGAACCTCCTTGGCTGTGCTACGTGAGCTGCCAAGGCCCTCAGTATGGACACCCATTCTCTTGTGTCCAGTTCCGGGCTTTTTAATGTGACACCAAAAACATTGCGGTGAATCAAACTCCCAAACTCTTTGTTTTATAGTATTGGGGAGTAGGCGTCACTTTAGTCCCTGCTAGGGTGCATAGCAGGTAACTCCAGCCACATGCCCTCCATTTCCAAAATTTTCACTCACATATTTTCAGCAAACAACTTATTGGTTCTAAATGGTGTCATTCTCTTCATTAATTACTGTTCTATTAGTTAGTGGTTTCTAGTGCTTATTAGTCCACATTTTTCAGCCTTTTTTTCCCAACAGAGTCTACAGTACTTAGGTTGCAATGTCTTTGTTAGTTTCTTCTGGTTATTGTAATTTATCTTTGGAGTGCCAAAATTTTGGATCTTTGGTGTCCAGCTTCCCTTTGTTCCTTGAAGCTTATCCAGGTTAGTTTAGCAAAACTGAAAGTTTCGGTGATCTAATAAGTCTTTCAAAAGAAACTTAGCAACATGCTGGCTAAAGTGGAAAATTACACTACTTAAGACTAATACAGTGCTTTTGATTTATTAAAACAATTACTTAAATTAATTAGGAAAGTGATATAATTTCCAACAATTCCTCCATTTGGAAGTGATTTTAATTATTTCTTTTATTTCCACTTAAATCATTGAATATTTGGCAAGACTTACCGTGACCGATGGTGTGGCACTGGATGGTAATGAAGCCAATTAACTGGGATCCCTGTCCTGAGGTTCAGGCATTGGCCAGAGGATCAGGAAAAGACCAGGAATTCTCAACCACTGGAGGCAACTCTTGTCAAGAGTGAGGGAAAGATACCTTTTAGAGGAAGACTTTTCAGTGTGCCAAGACAAGTGGAACACTTGGAAGGTATCTGGTGCCTGAGAGAATTAGCTGTGCTGGAGATAATATTTTCAGGTAATGAACAATTCCCTAATAATCCAGACGGCGTCCACTGAACACAAAATATGTGATCATGTGCCAAGTCATTGGAAGTGTTGGCATGGAAGGAGGGAGAAGAAGTGGGAATTCTGGTTTGGCAGACTCCAGACACATAAAAAAACTATCTCCGCCCCATTGTGGGCCTACATCTCATCCATGGAAAGAATAACAGAGGATTTCTGGAATTTAAGAGAGTAAATTAAAGAAAGGAGGGCCACCAGAAACTTTTAGAGTACCTTAAAGAGGAAATTTTCCATGCCCTACCAGTACAGACCAGAGTCTCTGCTATTAGGAGCAGGCATCCCCCTGCTCAAGAGAGAGGATACACTCCACCACATGTGTAACATGTGGTTCTACCTGCATGGAGAAAACATGAGGAGCTGGGATGAAAAACCCACCTCTGCCCTAGCAGCATGGGTATGTGAGTTGAGAGGAGGAATGACTACCACAGGAAGCTCTTAGAGGATAAATGCTGCTCCAGTTTCCCATGGGCATGCCCCTAGGCACAGTAGAAGGGATGATGTTGTGTCCAAACCTCTCCAGGCCAGGATGTACAGGGATCACGCATGTAGCTGGCAGATCGGGTACGATGTACAACACTTAGCCGTTGTAAGAAGATCAGGAACCTGGAAAACAGCATTTAGAAATGGAGATGGATAGAACACAGCTTCACATCATAGAATGGAAGTGGAGAACCTGTCCTGTTCTTCCTGGAGTAGGGGAAATCCCAGTCCTGGATGACTCTGTGCTCCCCGAGGCAAGAGAGGCTGCCCAAATGCTTCCCAGCAGCACAGTTCCCAGCCAGGCCCTTTCCCTCTGCTCTAAATTCCCTCCATGCCCCAGCCAAGGGAAGTAAAGGAAGAGAAGACATTTAATTGTTCCTTCTTTCTGCAAGAAAAGTTATTTTTGGAGTCTTTGGGACAACGCAGCAGAACATCAGGACTTGAACATGAAGGAGCTGGGCACAACTCCAGGGCTACACCTACAGCCAAGTGAGAGGAGGAGAGTCCCTGGTGCCTGTGGGGAACAGAGAGCTCTGAGGGGTACCAGGAGCTCTGAGGTGGCATCCCACAAACTGGATAAGGCACCCACTTAGCACCACATGCCTCTGAGTAACAACTCAGGCCCTGGAGCTGTACAAAAGGTGCAGAACAAAGGATCAACATTACAACCAGGAGTAAAACTGCAATATGAGTAATAAATTAATTTCATTTTCATTTATTAAACACGGATCACATAGAACTCAGCACAATTTACAGCAGATACAGAGTGATTAAATCCTTTATCAATCTCTTCAGGAAGACCACAAGCCTTTTTTTTAATAGATCGAACTGGCCCTGCCCCTTCTTTATTCCTAAAAAGCTGCTCCAAAACTTCAATATTTTATAAGCTTAAATGCACTCAACTGCTATACCACCTGCTGGGTTTGCTGTTGTTTATTTTCCCCAAAATGAAAGTAATGGTGTTACTTCTAGCCCATCCCTTGCCTGATCGTGTCATTGCCATTTCCAGGAGCTCTGCAGAACTGATGGTTCAGGCAGAGGTTTGCCTGTACACACACAGAGCATCAGCCCACACAGAAATGCTGCATTACATAGGAAGGGCTGTATTAAAAGCAGAAGTCAGGTGGGACTTGAAGTAGGAGGGTTTGCCCTTTGCTTCACTATTTCTGGCTGCCTAAAGGACTGTTTTCCTTTTGGTTGGGATTGTTCAATTTGCCTTCAGCCCGTCCCATTGTCCACAGGCTCTGCTGGTTTGTTGAGGTAAACATTTCACCCATTCAGGCCTCTCTTCCTGCTTTTGGTGGTTCCTGCCATGGGAATCAGATTTTGATGTGTGCTGTGCTTGATGCCTGATGAAAGGGGCTATTTCTGTCCCCTCTGTCTGTCAAGACAGATTTTCTTAATTCTTCTTCTTTTTTTCCCAAATTTTATGTCTCCTCTAGTATTTTCTTGCCTTTTCCCATTCACCTCTTTCTGTCTTACTCTGTCACTTCAATATTCTCTCATTTCCTTCTCTCTCTCTTTTTTTTATATGTTGATTTATCTTTCAATATTCTTTATCTATGAAAACTACATACAGAACAACATTTAATACACTTACACAGTACAAAACCCCTTTTTTAAAGTTCTCCTTAATACCAAGCAATTTTTCTGTGCTCTGAGAAATATCACAACACCAAAAATCTGTTACTTACCTGTATATCCTATGTTATAGAACTTCACAGAGAACCTCTTCTACATTGAGTACACAGACAGTGCACAATTGGCTGCGCACAGCAAATGCAAAACCCAGAAAGCCTGGCTGAAGAAGACATGTGTGGCTGTATCTGAAGCACAGGATGGGCTTTAAAACACGAGTCAGGATATTCGTCTAAACCTGAGTTTTAGATTCTTGTTAACAGGATTTCATCCTGTTCCCACAGCAGAAGGTGAAGAGATACAGTGAAAGAGAGGGAAAAGCTATAATCAAATCATACAGCTTTCAAATCAAGGAAAAGTAGAACATAAAACAGAGGAAAAAAAAGAAGAGCTAAGACAGAAGATTAGGTCTTACAGGCAATGATGCACAACAAAACAAAACATCAGCTTCATCTTTTGTGTGCCTTATTGTGATTTTCCAGGAGAGTATCTGAAAGATACATTATTGTAAAGTGAAGATCTGATGTAGAGTTACAGTAAGACAAGGAACCGGGGATCTCATGACTATTTATAGAGTCAGCATTCAGAGTACACTCACTATTAAAGTTTATTATCACTCGCTCATAACCACCAGAATGTCAAAAACAACTCAAAGTTAACAGAAATAGAATCATTTCTTAGACACCAACAAATCTAAAAGCCTTAAAGGGAGTCATTCTCATGATGTTACAAGTTAATGAAAACAGGAGCCTGTAATAAAATGTATTGATACTCTGTGCTGTGATGGTATATCCTGGAAAAGGTGTAATTACTTGTCTAATGTAGTGAAAAAGTTAAATCTTTATGACCTTTTCCATTTGCTGCTGAAACCAGCAGAAAGACAAATGTGAATGACTGATGGAGCAGAAATATATTCAGTTCTTTCAGGTAAAGATCCTTGAGAAGGATCAAAATATATTTTTTTCCCAGCAATGTGGTATTTAGAGTCTTTTCCTAGCTCTGCTTCATGTTGAATTTATGTAGCACAACATGAAGTGGGGGATGCAAGTTGGGTTTTGCATTTAAACACATTCTTTCCCCTCTGCCTTGAGCCATCTGTGTTCGGTCAGCCTCCTGCTCAGGGTAAAGCAGCATGAAGGTTTCCTACAAAGCCTTAACTGCAGGAATAGCTTGCCAGGGAAGTGGAAGTCCTGTCACACTTATCTTTTCCCTAACTAAGCCCATATGGCAACCGTGGAGTGAAATAAGCCAACAAGAGGGTGGGCATGATCTCTCAAGCTGTTTCACACCCATCAGGAACAGAGTTTGTTTCTCAGGGAAGGGCCGCTGCTGCATTTCCCAGGGTCAGGCTGCTCAAACACAGGGACATGAGGTTATTCGGGTTCCTGCCCAGTGAAGAAGGTGTGCTCACAGATCCTGCTGTGGCTGGGGTTTACACCACGCACCCCATTTTTTCCTCTAGGGAAGCCAAGATCCGTGCACACAGTCACCATTACTAACAAAGGCACCCCTCACCTCTGGCAAACAAAGCCAGCTTGAGGCTGTAAAGCAGGATGAAGCTTCCCAAACTTTCAGCAAATACCTTTGAAGTGTAAACTTGCTTTATCCTTTTTATGCAAGGATGAGCTTTCTGAAATTTGAGGTATCAACTACGAAATAACAGGCTGTTTTCCACAAAGTTCTTTACAATCCAGTAATTTAGTATCAAATCCGGAGATATTTCTCCTTTAGTAACCTCAGGATAATAAGCAGGATTCAATCTGACCACACTTCAGGTCAATCAACATCAATCAAAAGGTGGATTTTCTTAAATACTGGGTTGAGGGGAAAGTGAATTTGTGCAAGGACACACATACCTTGAGATATATGAGCCAATCGGCTTAAAATGTTGTTTTGCCCTGACCTGACAAGACTTGCTGTCTGGCAACGCATAATCTCTTTTAATGTACTCCCAGGAAGGTGATGGCTGTTTGAAAACCCTTCTGTAGTTATCTCAGTGGCTGACACCTGAATAGAAACCACACAGCTCTGTGGAAACCCTGGGACAAGCAGGTATTAATAGGAGTCCACGTTGATTCAGGAGACAAAGGGATAAAGAAAGACTTGCTATAGGTTTTGTGCAGAAGTTAAAAAAATTGCGTGTCAAGGATTTTGAAGCGGACACTGCCCATGGAGACACCTGTTTCACTGAATAAAGCCACGAGGCTTTGTCCTGTACATCAGGATGTTTTCCTAAGAGCATGCTGCTCTTATTCATCTCTGCCAGAGTGACTTCAAGTTGTGCATTTAAGACTCAAGTAAGCTCCTTTGCAAACACTCTTGAGAATAGGATCAAAATGGGAAGAGATTACATGTAATCTAATTATGTTAGGTTCCATTTGAAATCCTTCAGTGTAAAAATTAAAAGAATACGACACAGCTTTGCAATACGCTGTAGTTCACGTGGAAGTGACATGAGCATGTGGAACTGATGCAACATGGGAGAAAATATCATGTGTTGGGTATGCAACAACATTTGCTTTAAATAATCTAAACCTCAGGACTAGAACGGTTTGGTGAACTAAAAATAAATTCTAAGAACTTTACGCCCTCTGTCATTAATGTGACACTGGCCTTTGCCTTTCATTTTCTGGCCACAGCTTATATGAAAAAACTGGTGATCAAGAGATCTATATCAAACAATCAACACCAAGCATGACACTGGTCAGCAAGGTTGTGCTTGGAGCAGCACTGACCCAGAGAACTGGCACCTGCTAATGGGACAGACAGTGAATTCCTGTTACTGAGTGCTCTGTACCTTTACACCATAACACTCACATTCTGGTAAGGGATGTAAGAACATTCATAGTCCCTAGAGATTATTTTGAGTAATTCTTCATTTTCACAGTCTTTCAAAATCACACAAGTGAATTAAATTAACAGCTGTAGGATAAGAAGCAGTGGTACTGAATTTCAGACAGGAATTTCTGTGGTACTGAAATTGTACCACCTTATGATCCACACTGAATCAGGCCTCAAATTATATATTTAAAGTCCGATACTCATGAACGCTCCAAATGTGCTTGGAGGGCGGACCTAGAAACCCTGAAGTCTCATTCCCCTCATGCACTAAGTGCTGGAGGTGATCTGGGGGGAGGCTCAGGTGTGGTATTTCCCCTCTGTATCACCACTAATGCTCCCAATACATATGTGATCAAATTTAGAGATGGAATATGTTTAGTTTTTTGGTTAGGTTTTGGGATAGAGGCTGTTCTTCCTAGACTTGAACTTGAGCACTACTCAACTTCATGAAGTGTTCTGTGAGATTCCTCAAAACTGGGATTGTAGAAAGTTCTTCAAAATGTCTTGTCCAGTTCTATTTCCATTACTCTGAGATATGTCAAAACTGGATTCAAAAAACAGGTTCCTTTCTCCTTTTGAATTCAATCTATGAGCTTAAGAAGTTTTTACGAAATTCCCTTAAGAAGGAGAAGGTCAGATTTCTCTTCAGATTTTCCTCTGATTTTAGAAAATGGATCAAGCTGGAAAATTCATATGTGTTTTGCCCTCCACCACAGCACTCACATTCTAAGTCTACAGATCATTTGCCAGGGCTATTTCTAGCCCAGTTCCAGACATTTGGGCACATCTTGATCTCATGTTGTACTCTGGGTTTGATCACAGAACAGCAGCATGGGAATCCTTATGTTATGGGCTCTACAACCAAAAGAAACAAATACAGTTAAAACAATGAATTAAGTTCTGTACCACTTGCTGGCCAGATGGTATTGTGAATTGTTATAATTCATCAGCAAAACAGAGGAAGGAAGTGTTTTAAAGCAAGATTATATTATTTTCCTTGAGTTCTTATTATGAAATCTTCCTGAGGTGAACTTTGAAAACTTGAAAACCCTTCCAGAGGGAATGAATGGAACAGAGCAAACCAGAGACTTGCTGGAGAGTAGTTAAATACAAGGGAAAAGAATAATATGCCAGTGAAATAAAGGAAGAATTCATTATCAAGCTTTCCGTTTGGAAAGGCAAATGAAGAAAAATATAAGTGATTAAAAAAAAAAAAAAAGTACCTAAAAATATATGACATTTCTGTCCTCTTAATAATTCTAGATTGGAAAGCACCCAGGTCTTCCCTCCCACTGGAGGGAAATAAGCCTGAAAG